GCGCAGCTGCCTGCGTCTGACCTCAAAGTGCACAAGCTTCAAACTTCAGCGTTGGCTGCGATTTTGAAGCTGAAATCGCGTTCGGTGTGAACGCACCATACGAAAACATTGGTGAATGCCACAAATTCTCCTAAATCACTCGTACGCACAACTTAAGAACAAATCTGTTCGTACGAACGGTTCTTGCATGAGACCCAATGTTTTTTGTGTGCAGTGCCCTGAGACGACACGTTGGTGCTTTATAAATAAACTGAATTTGATTGATTTTGACAGTTTCTCATTGTCTCTAGTTACATCATCTGCGTCTGAAGCAGTTGTTTTGTCGGATGAGAACAAGGCAGARCCAGGAGAGAGCGTCCAAACACCCAATCCAACCTCAAAGTCATCCATGAACCTGGCCGCCCTCAAAGCTGCTTTTTCAAACCCCACCGGCACCAGTTCTGGGAACAAGTCGAGTAAAGAAAAACCTGGTCCAACTCAAAAAACGCTGCAGTGTTTCTTCAAGGATTCTGCAAAACYTGCTTGCAGCCCAAGCAAGAAGTCTCCTTTAAAACCCACAGGGAAGGAAGTAAATTCCTCACCAACAGGAAGGTCTGTTCTGGATGGATTTAGGTACGAGGGAAGTGAGAAGGCGTCTAAAAAAGACGGAGCGGCGTCCGCTCATGTCTTAACAGCATGGGCACCAGACGTGCAGCATTCTGACCCAGAGTTCAGCTCTGTTAAAGAGGAGTCATTTGTTTCAGAAGCATACACTAATCATCCTGTTCCTGAGGATCCAGAACTACAGACTGAAGATTTATCTACTGAGGCGTCCACACTAAGTCCTGAAGCCAAAAGAGCCAGGACAGAGGAGCAGCGTTTCACTGCAGAACAAACATCGGACTCTTCTCCAGCCCGCTGTGATGCGTCTCCCTCTGCGGTGGACGCCCCCGTCAGCCTGCAGAGGAGGACGAGGCAGTTACAGTTCTCGCTGAAGGAGCTGTCAGCCAACATGAGGAGGCTGCTGGAGCAGAAGAGACAAAGGTCCAGCGAGGAGCTGCAGTACAGACGCTTCAGGGCCAAGATCAGCCCCGGAGAAAACCAGAGTGCCGAGGACGAGCTCAAGAAAGAGATCAGGTGGGATTTTACTCCTGCAGCTGTGGCTGACTCTCAGAYCTGAGTGTAACTCTCAGCTGTCAGTGACTTTTTCTTTCTTCCATCTCTGCAGCAAAGAAATGTTTAAAGAAATGGAGGTCATCGGCCAGTTTAACCTGGGCTTCATCATCGCCAAACTGAACTGGGACATCTTCATCGTTGACCAGCATGCCACAGATGAGAAATACAACTTTGAGATGCTGCAGCAGCACACTGTACTCCAAGGACAGAAACTTATAGTGTATGAATCTGTCTGTTGGTAAAGACACACTTAGGTCTGCGCAGTGTCTCGCCTCCCTGATCTGTGTTTATTTCTGTCTGCAGCCCACAGAAGCTTCACCTGACTGCAGTCAGTGAGAACACGCTGATGGAAAACATTGAGATTTTCCAAAAGAATGGATTTGAGTTCCTAATTGAGGAAGAAGGTACAGCTCTGCTCTCCAGAAATACTGGTTCCTGAACTCACACAAGCTCTTATTTTGTAAACGTTACTGCAGCTCAGGTGATGGAGAGAGTGAAGCTGGTCTCGTTGCCCACCAGTAAGAACTGGACCTTCGGCCCAGCTGACATCGAAGAGCTGATCTTCATGCTGAGTGACAGCCCGGGCGTCATGTGCCGCCCCTCCAGAGTCCGGCAGATGTTCGCCTCCAGAGCCTGCCGCAAATCAGTGAGTTCTTTTGATTTATTTTTTTAAGCTCATTTTAAAGCTTTCATTTGTTTTTCTTTAAAGTTCAGAGTTGGACAGGAGGAAAGGAGGAAAAAGTAACATTTCTAGCGGCAGAACAGGTTGGAAGATGGCTGTTTGATGTTATTTATTGTTTTTTTAAATCATCCTACAGGCT